GGGGGGGGGGAGGGGGGGTGGGGGGGGGGGGGGGAATACAAATATTTTATACATATAAGGCAGTTCAAACTTGTCAGCAATAACAATTTTGAAACTAAAGTTACTGTCAATGACACACAATCTTTTTAAAAATGTTTTTTAATTTATTTTCTAGTCAGATCCTGCTGTCTTTATCAAATTCTCCTGCACTTCCTCGGTACACTGTGGTGCTCTCCCACACTAATAAAGCTTAAAATGAAATCAGGTTTGCCAAGTGATTCCCTCCGCCACCAGTGCACTGCTTGCCTTCTGCGGCATATCCCTTGATTAGCAAGTTTCCAGTGCAAAGAAAATTATTGGATTTTTTCCACACTTTTTGGAACATGTAACATGCTGCAGTGCCAAATTAATCAGTTCAGAGTCAACAGAGGTTTTGTAATGACACGGATATTGATCAGGTTTACCCGGTGTGACTTGAAGCTGAGGGGATTTGATGTCAAGACAATGAGAAGAAAGGAAATGCATGCTAAATATCTTTCACACATAAATGTGCATATATATATATATATATATATATATATATATATATATATATATATATATATATATATATATATATATATATATATATTGCTTGCGTATGTACATGAATACACACTTGCATGTATCCACACATTTTCAAGTATACATGCAAGCAAAATGTCTTGACTTTGCGTCAAGAACATTTGTCACCCATTGACTTATTTCTGCATTAGTTCTGTGAAACAGAAAGTTCATATGACAAGAACGCTTGACTGATCCTATCCTCCCAGCCCCCCCCCCCCTCACCCCAACCCCTCCCACCAGCAAATCACTACACAACCCCTCTATAACCTCATCCACTGATCACTGGGTATTCTACAGTACCAGCTAACCATCCAGCCCTCATTTGGACAGCCACCAGCATCACCGGACCGGACGGCTTATATTTTAAAGACGGCTGGATGGCTTATGGATTTTTTGAAATATGAGGAATTTAGGGCATACTTAGAACTCCCTGAAATTTTGTCGGAAATAACAGGTGGTAATATTGGACAGGCTGTACCCCAGTCCTAACAAAAGCCCTGTCTACAGATATACATAGGTGCTGCACAGCAAGCAGCAGGGAATTGCAATCAAGTTCCCACATCTTGAAAGCGGATCTGAAACAGTTTGTCTTGGAACCCAGCTGAATGTGATCCTCTCCTGTGCCTAAATTAATCTGATCATTACATCCCACATCAAATGTCAAGAAGCAGCTGAGATCTCTAATGAAACCATCATTACTTCAAATGTTTTTAATAACTGGTTT